CGCCTGCCGGCCTGCATTCCCTGGAGCCTTGCTGCTGCCGCTGGCGTTGGGGCCAGCTGGCCTGGGGTAGGGGCTGGGGGCCTTGCCCTGCCTGCGGGGGAGCAGAGGGCTGTCTCCTGCCCCGGGGGGGTGCCTTCCCTGCCCAGGAGCTGGGGGATGTGGCCTGCTTGCCCCATTGAGGGGGTCACACCCCAAACACACTTGCTGCTTTTAGCAAATCATGAAGGACAAGTGGATCAACATTGGGTATGAGGGCGACGAGCTGAAGCCCTACAAGGAGCCAGAGGAGGACTTCGGGGACACCAAGCGCATCGGTGAGCCAGGCATGGGGCCACGGGGTGTCCTGCCCTGCTCTGACTGGTGCCAGCTGCCCATGGCTGGGACCATGCCCGCGGGTCTCTTGGTGGGGGTGGGCATGGGAGTATCAAGGTGCCCAGTTCCCAGGGGACACGGGATCTATGCAGTGGGTAGTGACTCTCAGGCTCTGCCCATGGCCGGGCTGGCGTCGGGGGCTGTGTCCAGACCCATGAGCAGGTAACTGGGGCTGACGGGCTGTGTCTCCCAGAGGTGATGGTGGGCATGGGTTACACCCGTGAGGAGATCAAGGAGTCCTTGAGCAGCCAGAAGTACAATGAGGTCACGGCCACCTACCTCCTGCTGGGCAGGAAGACAGAGGTGAGTGAGGGCTGGACTCTGCGTGGGCCGGGGGACCGTAGGCACCATGCTCTGTCCCAGGCATGGGCCACACTGGGTTTGTCCTGCCCTGGGTCAGAACCTGGTGCTGTGGGCTCAGGCCTGGTGCCTGGGCTGGAGGTGGGCATAGTTGGGTCAGGCTGGCAGGGTCACTGGTACCTGTGTGCCAGCAGGTGGAGGGCGGCGAGTCCCGCACGGGCAGCAGCCTGTCTCTGGCAAGGGTGCGGGCACCCAGCGAGGTCTCCAACGGCTCCAGTAAGGCCTCGTCTCACAGCAAGAGCCAGCGCAGCACCTCCACTTATCACCGCCAGCGACGGCACAGCGACTTCTGTGAGTGCTTGTAGGCAGGCAGGAGCTGGGCAGGGTGGAGCTGGGCTAAGACCCTGGCGCAGGGGCTACCTGGTGCCGGCATGAGTGGGGCTGGGTACCGGTGTTAAGTGCCCCCCCTCCCTGCAGGTGGCCCATCGCCAGTGCCGGCACACCCCAAGCGCAGCCCCACGAGCACAGGCGAGGCAGAGCTGAAGGAGGAGCGCATGCCACCACGCAAGGCCAGCTGCAGCATGGTGGGCAGCGGGCGTGGCATCCCCCCCTCCAGCCCCATGGTGAGCAGTGCCAACAATCCCAACAAGGCTGAGATCCCTGACCGGCGCAAGGACAGCGCTGTCACCACGGTGAGTGAGTGGGGAGGGACAGTGCCAGGGCGTGGGGAGGTTTGGGGAGTCCTGGTTCAGCCTGGCATGGCACCAGAGTGGGTACAGGACACCAGGCTCACCTCGATGCAGTTCCAGGGCATGGGGGTGCAGCGCAGGTAGGCCAGGGTCCTGGCTCAGCCCAGTGCAGTGCCAGGGTGTGGGGGTACAGGGGCCTGGGGTCCTGGCTCAGCTTAGTGCAGCACCAGGGAGGGGTACAAGGGTCTGGAGCCCAGGGTCCCGGCTCAGCCCGGTGCGGTGCCTTGCAGAACAACATCCCGTCGAGTGTGATGACACGGAGGAACACATATGTGTGCACCGAGCGCCCCGGCACTGACCGCCACTCCCTGCTGCAGAATGGCAAAGAGAACAGGTACCACAGGTGCAGCGGCTGCACAGGGTGGGTAGCGTGGCTAGATGGACACAGGGGTCTGGTTGCTCTGGCCAGAGCTGACCACACCAGGCTCAGGCATCCTCTGGGCTGGGAGACTGGGTCACGGAGCCAGGCCACCACAGAAGATGGGGAAGGGTCATTCAGGCAGCGAGCATCTCATTTCCCCTGCTTGTTCCCTGGCCACCGGTGCTGGCTCTCAGCCCAGTTTCCATGCCCAACTCAGTCGATGGGGCTGCAGCCTGCAGGCAGCATTGTGATGCACCAGGCCCGGCCTGAGATGACCCCCCCCCACCCCCCTGGTGCTTTGCAGAGCCGCTGGGCCCTGCTGTGGCTGTCGCGGGCTGGCAGCTCCTCTCAGCCGCTCTCATCCCTGCGGGGCCTGGGCTGCTGCACTGTCTGGGATGTGGGGGGGCAGGGGAGCACTGCAGGATCTGCCCTCACCCTCTCCAGCTCTGTGAGTGCCCGGGTACCACCGGCCTCGCCATCCAGCCACAGCATCACGGCAGCCTCGTCGGCCGAGCGAGCACGCCTGGCGCGGGGCTCCAGTGTGCGCAGCACCTTCCATGGAGGGCAGGTGCGGGACCGGCGCGGCACCGTGCAGAACGGGCCGCCCACGTCACCCACGCTGAGCCATGAGGCCGCCCCCGCTCCCCACAGCCGCAGCCGCGCCACCTCCAACCTCTTCAGCAAGCTCACCTCCAAGCTCACCCGCCGGTGTGTGCCTGGGACGTGGTGGGGGCAGCAGCTGGTGGGAGGGCTCTGTGGTCCTGCTTCCCCCAGCTGTGGCGCTGTGGGAGGGGCAGGGGGCTGCAGGGGCAGGAGCTAGCTGTAGGATCCCAGCTACTTCAGCCCCAGACTCTCCCAGTGGGGGAGGGTGCAGCGTGGGGAGAGGGCAGAAGCTGAGTGAGGGAGGGGACGCCAGGTCCATGGGGTCTGGCTCTGGCCATCTCACCTTGTGCCCCCCCACGCAGGGTCACACTGGACCCATCCAAGCGACAGAACTCGAACCGCTGCGTCTCGGGTCCCTCCCTGCCGCAAGGGGCCAAGATCAGTAAGTGCCATGGCCCCCCTGGCCCCTTTCCTTTGGGTCTGCGGCATTCTTGCACCTCCACAGCCCCCCATGGTCACAGAAGGGGGTGTCCTGCACTGCGCAGCTCGGGTCTGGGGGATGTGGGGTGGAGGCTGTGCCATGCAGGGGCCTGTGCTGTGGGGCAGCTGAGTTTGGCCTGCCGGAAGCTGGGAAGTGGGGGTTTGCCCCAGGGGCCATGCCTGGTCCCGCGGCCATGGGGCTGTCTCTGCAGGTAATGCTGGGCCCCCCGTGTCGTGTCTCCCCCCCCCCCAGCCATCTGTGCTGGATCAGGGCTGTAGTACCCAGCCCAGGGCCCTGCCCTACCTGGGGGAGACTAGTGGGGAGGTCAGCTGAACTGACCAGGCCCTGTGCTGACGCTGCCCCCCACCCCCCAGGGTCGCAGACAAACCTGAGGGAATCAGGAGACCTGCGCTCACAAGGTACGTGCCCCCCACAGGGTCCCCCGCAGCTCTTACCTGTCTCTGCCCCTCCCCCCACCCCCA